GGGTGATGCTGGCGGCGGCGGGGTGCAGGGGAGGGAGGAGGGGGAAGCTGCTGGAGGCGTAGGGAGGGCGGCCGCCCCCACCACCACCGCCGCGGTGGTGGTGAGCTACAGGTGCCACAGGTGCGCGTCGTCCCACCGACTCGGCGGACTCGGCCCGCTTCCACGAACTCGCCGCCGCCATAATCCAGGGGGCCCCGTTCGTCATTGATTGTGTATAAAGCCAATTTGTAGAGGACGAAGGTCGCGTCGCCGGCAACAGCCGCCCGGACCAGCAGCACGCCGGCCGAAAAAGAAACGGTTGTTCGCGCTTTTCAAATCGGCACCCGAAAAAGGAAAAGAAAAAGGTTTGTTGACGGACGGGTCGATAGCCAAAAACTTTTACGGGTGTGACATTACCGACTGGAGCTTGTTATATACAGCCCCCCTCCTCTCTCTCTTTCTCTCTCTCTCAGTCACAAAGAGTAGCGGAGTAGCGGTTTGCGCCGGGTTTCCCCACACCCGGTAAAAGAGAAGCGTGACGTTACACTTTACATGGAGGCGTAAATGCGTTCCTTACGCACCGGTGACGGGGATGCGGCGTTACGGGAGAGAAAAGTCCGTGCCTTCAAATCACCTGCCGCAGACCAATAACATCCGCGTTCGTGTCTTTTCGATATCGTTCCGAACAGAACCGACCCGACGTCGCTTCGACGCAGTCATAGTTTTGACGCGCGCGCCGTCGAAGGGCGACACTTATCAAACAAATGGCACAACGTGACGCCGTAGTCACGCGCCGGGAGGGGCGGGTAGTGCAACGGGACAGTGGGGAGAAGCAGAATAAAGCGACAAAAAATAAATACGACAAGCGCATGCGGAATCGAAAAACCACGCAGCCACACCTGGGAAATAAAGCTTTCAGGGGGAACGACCTGCAGTGACAGTTCCAAAAGCTAGCGCCCGACACACCCAGAGTACGATTTTCGCCTTTTCCTGGTCTTTCCCCGGCCGTTCGTCAATTTTTTAAATATTTTTTTTTGTTTGTTTCCCGCTTGTCTTTTAGCCGTTTTGTTTGTCACCCGATGCCAGCAGTGCATCGCACCTGCTAACTCTCCGCCCGCCCCGCGCCCCGTCACCAGGTAGGTCGACGACGACGCCCCGCGGCCGCGGACCTGATAGGGCACGGCCCGGACACGGGGCGGGACAGGAACGCCCCGGGACAGAACGCCAATCCGTCGACGGAGACGTCCTCGGCTCACACATCGACATGGAATCGATGCCGAACCATTCCGGCTGGAGCGCCAGCCAGAGAGAAGAGGGGCGGGGGCGCCTCGCGGCGCAAAGAAAAGAGACAGGGGAAAAACAACAACAAAAACGTGCGGCGAGGTTGTGACGCTCGCTTGCTAGAGCTTTTAGTCACGTTTAACGTTTATTGGCTTCGTCGTCCACCATTTTAATGGTGCAGCTTTACGGGCGTTCTGGTAAGTTGGAGCATCATCATCATCCTCTCATGTTCGTGTTCCTCAGCAGTGCAAAGGTCACGGTGGTCATGTGTCAAACTTGTGGCTGACAAAGTTTTGCTTAGGCTACGCATGGGGGGTGCATGTGGATTAAGTCCCTGGCACCTGACACTAATCCCATCATGCGCCGTGCACCTGCCATGGCTGCGACAGGTAAAGTAGGTCACACATACAGGGGATGAAATACGAAGGGGATCTGCAGCTGGATCAGAAACCAGAGCATGGCAGACAGATCTTCAGCGTTCATATACAAATATTGAACATAGTTTTTATACATTTTAACTGAAAGGGAACATCCCCCGGTCAAAATTTGCACACCCCTAACTGGAGACCGCTGATATACTGAACCCGGTCCTTGAAGAAGGGCGGTGCTGAAGCGGTGTAGTCCTGGGGGGAGGACTTCCCCGACTTCCCTCGCTCACCCGCCGGGCTCTGCCCCCCCCCCCCTCCCTCCCTTCGGCACAGCGGTTCCACCCCACCAGAGCCACCTGTTGATCATCCCCTACCCCGTCCCCCTCCCCCGGATGCGACACGACGGGGAGCTGTCTGCTGGAGCAGCACACGAGCAACCTCACGTTCACCACTCACTTTAGGAAGTAGATCTGTCCCTCGAGGGTGTGGGCCTTCTCCCAGCCCGGGGGCAGCGGCCCCAGCTCGTCCACCTGGGTCATGTCGTAGCTGCGCGCCTTGAGGTGCTGGATGGGCTGGGCGCCGGGGCTGACGGGGCCCTGGGTGGGGCTCTGCGCCGCGCTGGGCGGGGCGCCGTAGGTCTGCTGCAGCGAGGCGGGCGAGCTGTGGTGTCGGGGATGGCTGACGGGCAGCCCGCTGGAGGACACGGTGGGCACCACGACCCCGGCGAGCGAGTTCGCGAACGCCGAGTCCGCAGAGTTCTCGCGGCTGTGCGACACCGAGGGCGACTTGGAGCCCGTCGACGGCGGGTTGAAGAACGAGTTGGGCAGTTTGCGCATGTGCATGGGCTTCTGCAGGGGCCGCTTGGCGTTGGGCTTGAGCACTATTTCGAACAGGGCTTGTAACTCGGTCTCGCTGTCCCGCTCCAACACAACCTCCTGCTGTTTTTCACCACTGTCTGGATTTAACGACATTTTCGATCACCAGAACACGGTCCACAGATTCACAAAAACAATAATAAGGACGGGAGTGAACGAAAATAACTAAAAATAAACAAACAAAATAGGGTATCCCCACCCACTACGCGCGAACGTCCCTCCCCGAGCGCCTCTTGATCCACACTGATGGCGTTTCGAGATGCTGGCAGCAACAAGGAGGCCGTGTCTTCCACGGCCCGCAAGAAACGGGAACAGGTGGATTGGAACACTGCAGCCAACTCAACCCCCGTAACGGAGGAAAACATGACGACGACCGAACTGAGTCTCATCACACAGCTTTACAGGGAAACTAAATTGTTATCAAGTCATGTTTCTCCTGACAAAAAAAACGGTCATTATGTTTTCTGAACATGCTACGAAAATGTATCGACGACAGGGAATTTTCGTTTGTACAACATCACTGAGGCGCACTGACCAAGATTCACATTGCGTTTCGAGCTGTAAATAAGCAGTTGACGTTTGAGAAATTCAGTTCACTTTCATTTGTCAGCCTCCACGTACAACGCGCTTGCAGACATGGCGATCGGAACGAACGATATTGTTGCAAAAGCAGAAGATATTGCGGACCAGGTAAGCATTTGAAAATCGTCGCGTTAAATTTGAAACATTTCTACCCTTTTCTAAGTAGGCGCAAAATAGTTTACTGGTTGACTCCACCTTTAATTAAGGTTACCGACACATCTGTGTCAACGCACAGCTGTCTTCTGAAGTACATCAGTTTTAAGTTGGTTGCCGATAGTTTACTGCGAAAGTATTCAAATAGTGTATCCTCACGGCTAATTTCACCTCCGTTTCTTAACCTACCGTCGTCGTCATTCACTTTTCAACCCTATGGTATTAATCATATACTCCAAACCTTGGCTTTCTCTTCTGTCTGTCATCTTGGTGGCCACATAATTTACTCTTCAATATTTCTGATAGTCAAGAACAAATAGTGATCTTGCTTGATGCTGTGGTACTTAATCACTATTACCTTTTCCTGTCAACTTTTGAAAGTGATTTCTACATGTTTCTGTGACACCTTGGCACTGCTGACCTGGCACCAAACATTGGCCCTCCAAAACCTCAGTATTGTGTTAATTTCTCCCATTATTAACCTAGATTCGACTGTTTAGCCTGTATACGTGAATGCTCTGATTAACCATGTTATTGTCAAGAAATATTTATTCAGCTCTAGGATGTCTATCTTTGGACGAACAATATTTGACACTTCCATCTGCTTGTTCCACCTTCTATTTCAAACTCAAACTTAGAACGGTCTCTTTGCAAAAGCTTTAGACCTCTGAAAGCCATATACTAGCCTTTTCACAAAAATGTTTGGTGAATGATATATTGATATTGGACTAATTCATTATTTTCTATTTCTTCCAGGTGTTAAGATATAAAAGCGTTTTACCCACTATAGCACGCTTGTGTCTTATTTCTACATTCCTTGAAGATGGCTTACGCATGTGGTTCCAATGGAATGAGCAGAAAGATTATATGGATATGTCATGGGGTTGCGGAAAATTCTTGGCAACACTTTTTGTGCTCATTAATCTTCTTGGACAACTTGGAGGATGTGTGATGGTTTTGGGCCGCTATAAGGTGGCCTACGCCTGTGGTGTTTTGTTTTTCATTGTTGTACTGCAGGTATGATTTATACATCATTCACTTCAACTACTAGTTTAAGTTTTTGATTAAGTTTATAAAATTTACTCTTTCTTTACAGACTTTTGCGTACAGTATCCTGTGGGATCTCCAGTTCTTGTTCCGTAACTTGGCTCTTATTGGTGCACTTCTGTTAGTGCTAGCGGAGAGCAGAGTAGAATCAAGAAGTTTATTTGCTGGTGTTCCATCTCTGGGTAAGAAGCATTTTAAAATAAGTCAGTGGAAGTAAAGCCTTTGGGGGCTAAAACATCAGTTTAAGTAATCATTTCATTTTGCTACAGGTGACAACAAGCCCAAAAATTATCTTCAATTGACGGGACGTATTCTTATAGCGTTTATGTTTATTACTCTACTACGTTTTGAAATTTCATTCCTGCAGGTTTGTTTCTTTTCATTATAAGTAAAGGGTAGGAGTGTTATACTTTTGTATTAATTTTTGTTGTCTGTATGGCTTTTAGATTGTTCAAGATATTTTGGGCTCTGTGTTGATGGTCCTTGTTACAATTGGATACAAGACAAAATTGTCAGCCCTGATTCTTGTCCTGCTCCTCTCTCTGCTCAATGTGTACCACAACGCATGGTGGACAATTCCCGCTCACAGACCACTCAGAGATTTCTTGAAATATGACTTTTTCCAGGTAATTATCTTAAGGATTTTGAACATAATATTTTATCTATCTGTTAAAAATTCTGTACAACAGAATTTTGCCTACTTTTTATTCACACACAAATCTTTTTCCTCCCCCAGACACTTTCTGTCATTGGTGGTCTTCTGATGATCGTATCCCTGGGACCCGGTGGAGTGTCCATGGATGAGCACAAAAAGAAGTGGTGAGAAGTGTGTTGTTTTGCAAGGAAAAACTGTTCTAGAGTTTTTGGTGTGGCTACAACACAGAACTGAGTTATATATTAAAGTAAAGAGTGTTGTCAGGCATATGCAGATTGCCAACTTGTCAGCAAAAAGTACCTACTGTCTCCCTTCCATTTCATCTTTCTGTTGTTTGTGATAAACTGACTTAAGTTGAATGTTTTCCTCCTTGAATCAAAGAGGAATCGAATGACTGTGACATAATGTGTGCAATGTGTAAATAATGACTAGATCCTTTATGGTGGAGATCTGAATTACAGGCATCACTTAAAAATGAAAGCAGCATATTTTTGCCTGTTTTTAGGCTCTCTGGAAAGTTATACTCAAGCACAGCGATCTGTACAAAAAGCACCAAGGCTAGAATGAAAGAGCTGTGTGAATTTTAATTATTTTAAGATGTTAATTGTGACAAATTAAAGGGAATTTCTTCATCCTGGTAGTGTTGGAGATTGTAAATCATATATGTGGGACAAGTGCTGAAAGTAGCAAATTTCTTATATATTTTATGCCATTTGAGAAAGCAAGTGTTGTGGCTCTATATTTTTTATTTCTGTTAAAGGTAAGAGAAGAAGTTAGATTTGGGTGAACATTTTTGTTCCTAGCTTTGTCAAGTTGCTTATTTGCATGTGTTGTCAATTAAAAATTTCACCCCAGAATCATTTGCTCCTCTGTTAGTAGTACTGGGTCAAAGTTTATGTTCAGAAAAAATCATTGATATCTGCTACCTGTATGAGGATGTCCCTGGTATAAATCATCATGAATTACACAAGCTGTTATGGTATTGATCAACTTTGTTACTGAAGGTTTTTTAAAAACTGCTCTGATTTTATGTTGAGACTCTGGGTCAGGTAATGTTGTGAAGAGGGTTTATGTAAATGTTTCTTCTGGGCTCTCAATTTCATTATGAGTTATGCCCTGTATCTGTTTTGGGGCTTCTATCCTCTTTTGTCGTAAGCCTTGGATGGCGGTTCTGTGTACTTTAAAATTTCTAATCTATCCTTTTAGTGTTTTCTTGAATTTTTTGTCCATGGTTACCTGATGGTTAGTCACATTTGCATCAGACTCAAATGTTGTTCAAGACTGACCGAACTGTATTCAAAGTAATGGAAATAAAACTTTAGCTGCCTCTACTTGCCCTTTCATGCATGAAGCCCTGTGCCATTGTTTGGCTAAATCATCTCTTAAAGTTACTTAAAAGTTATTTTTCCAAATGCTCACCTATTAAATATGTAGTTCACTTAAGTTGCTTGTTTTACCATTATTTTTTATTTGCTCGTGGTAACAAATTTACTAGGAGTGTTGTTACAATATGTGTTTTGTGAATGACTGATAAATGGGGAATGCCATCCCTTGAGGCATGTCATTTAAAGATAGCATGGCATGGTTCCAAAAATATTGTAGGTTTTAACTATTTTCCTATACCATCATCATGCTTTTTCAAAATCCAACATGGTTGTGATAAATAAATAAAGCTGAGAATGAGAACACTGAATGTGTATTTTTTCATCCAAATAATCACACTACAGTCAGCTTTGTTCATGCTTTGTTGTAGTTCTTTCTCCATTAAACAATATAATTTTGTTGATTTTTATCATTTTTATGTTCAAAATCGGTATGTTTCAAAAACTTTCAGAAATGATCGGTTGAAAAACAGAAAGAGAAGTTAGTTCAAATCAGTTATAAGTGAAGTTGGGCAGGTGCAAGTTACGCGGAATGAACCCTTTACACGTCTTCTGCACGTCGTCTGCTCGGCGCTGCTCGGGCTGTGCTGTTATTGCGTCAACAATAACTGCGATATAACAAAATGATAAGTGTTAGGGAAATGTCATTCTGATTCATCCATATAAAAAAAAACCTTCATAAAAAGTTTTGGTCAGTCTTATTTTGCACTGTGTGACTAGACCTTACTTTCGCCCACTTAGACAAAATCATAGGTCTAACCAAAAAATTCCTTCAGATCGGAGGTTTGTGGTGTTCTTCTCATGGCTAATGCTACTAGTGATGGTGAGATAAATAATACATTTGAGTCGGCATCTGCTTTATTTTCATATAAATCGGAGATGAACAAACACTCATGTTCTCGTTACAAAATTAAATTTCAGGTCGCAATCCACCTGACACCAATATATTAGACTTACCAGAAGAAGTTTCAATTTTTATATTTTCATTTTTATCAGCATCAGAGTTAGGTGACAGTATTGCTAAAGTATGTACATTATGGAGAGAGTACTCACAAGCGTACCAGCTCTGGAGACAATTGGATTACGTTGTGGATGGTAAGAAAACAGCTACGTAAACATTATACAAGAAATTTGGGACTGTTCTCTTGCTTTATTGGTAAAAAATTCTCCAAAATTTCAAAATAAAAAATAAAAAACCTTTTTCTAGGTGTGTTAAGCAAAAGAGAGCAAATATCAGTTTTTCAGACTGCGTCAGCATTTCGAAGGTTGACTTTAAAGGACAGTACAAGTTTAGAATGTCTTTTGCCCTTACTCTTCTGCAACTGCTCGAGTATTCAAGAATTGGCCATATGTGGTGAGGAAATGGATCCTGAAGTTCTGAGAAGCCTAGCTAAGTAAGTTTGCTTACAGAAATAGTAAATATCAACTGCAATCTTGTTTCATTTGTTATACTCGCACCATTTATAAATTTTTGTAGAGAATACAAAGGTTCCATAATATCACTCACTCTTGAGGGAATGGAACTCAACAATAGCTGGTACTCAGCAATATCAGATTTAGCAAAAGGTTTGAACTCACTGACTTTAAAAGCTGTAAGTGAAAACAAAATTTGCAAGTATAAAATCATTTTTAAAAAATGTGCATCTTGTGTGCATCTTTTTATTAACAAAATTTCTGTTGTATGTTTTAAGTGTGGGAATGTGAATTTAATTGTTTTATTTATAACTTCTTTTATTCTCACCGAAAACATAAATTAACTATTCCATTCTCTCAATGATCTATTGTGATGTCTGGGCATGCTCAAAAATCCATAAGTTTGTGATGTACTATTTTCTGTTTACATTTTTTGGTCATCTTATAACCTTCTTTTGGTTTGCAGGATTGTTGCGTGTGGGCAATGGGACTCTTGTCAGTTGAATGCACCGCCCTCACTTCACTAAAGTTAACCAGTTGCCGTCAAACTGAGGATCACAGACGCCAGGTGCAAGGAGTAAAACGAATGCTGCGCTTACTGCCAGATGGCTTACAGATATTACAGCTAGGTGCTCACATTTCTCCCAACACAGATATATTACAGGCAATTGGGGAAAAGCGAAGGTTTGAAAATTAAGAATTTAGTTACATTTTTCTGGAGACTGCTGGCCTTTAAATCAAAACTCAATTCTGTTTAATAATTTCAGGATTGAAAATTTAGTTCTTGAGGACTGCTGTGAAATTTTGGATAAGGATTTGCTCAACCTCCTGAGCTTAGGTCAATTGCAGAGCCTGCAATTGTGGCGGGCCCATAGAGTGTCTTCAGAAGGGCTGATAAATTTCATTAGTTTCTCAAGATTTTTATCTTTACGACATCTTGACTTGTTTGATTGCCCAAATCTTAATGATGATGTCTTGCAGGAAATAACTATTAAGTAAGCAACAGTTGTGTCACAGTTTTTACATTGATATTAGTGAAAAAAACCCTGAAATGTTATGTATCATTTTAATAATCTAATGTACGAATATGTTTCTCTTGTGTGTTTGCAGATGTCGCCATTTACAAACTTTGGACATCAGCAGCTGCCATTTATTAACAGATAATGGAATTGCAAGTGTTTTCCAATTTTGCTCCGACCTCCAGACTTTAAGGATGAGCCATCTTCCACAGCCCACAGGGCATGGATACCTCTTTGAACTACCACAACTTTTGCCAAAATTGGTTTACCTGGACGCGTACAACTGTTGCAATATATCCTGTGATGTTCTCGAAGGCCTAGAAACCAACAAATTAATTGTCATGTATGGAAGACGTGGTAGGAGACGATAAGCATCTGTAGAAAGAAAGGTGATCCTTTCCACCAAATAGTTCTTTAATAAACCAATCTTAAGAACCTATTTTTCTCGGAAATACGCCACATACAATCCCAGTACACGATTGCCGCCTAGCGGAAGACCACCACCAGATCAGACGTGGCGGAAGGGTTGCCTACACTCCCGGCACCCAGCGCCGCAGGCCCCCGGAGCCGTCCATGTTTGTGGCCACATAGTTGTGGCCACAACCGGCTCAGCTTAACTGAACTGAACAGGGCGTCGTAACGTAACGTAACGCGCAACAAAAACAAACAAACCAAGAAATTGAACTTGTAATTTGAAAGGATTATTGGAGCGTTTTCGTTTAAAACATTGAATAGGAGAACACACGTGAAAACTTTAAAACAAACCCTTTTAAAAACGCATTAAAATTGAAGTTTTACTTTTCGTTTTTTACGCGTTTTCTTAAAAGCTACATCGAGTTATGACGCCCCGAAACTGACTGAACAACACGCAGCGAGAACTGTTTGCAGGCGAGCTTCTGTCTACAACAGCTTGAGTGGACTTCCCTCCCCTACGCACGATGAGAAACAAATATGTTGCTGCATTTGCGACATGCCCCGAGTCGAGCGTATAATATAAAAGCTGCGGTGTTAACTGCAACGTATGTGAACCGAAACAGTATTGAGAAGGGGGAAGTAATGGATTGTTATATGCTGTAAATAAATATTGATTGATTGATTGATTGATTATTACGGCAAACGTTTCCGGCGGCCGGTGGAAGGGTTGGGGGGTCGTCGTTTTGCCGTCCGCAGACATCTGCCCCTACAAAGCATCCCCCCTCCCCCAAATTTACGGGTCGCGCGGCCCGGCCAGGACTCAACGACCCGTCAACACCTCTTGAACTCGCGCTCGTTGTTGCGACGGTCCTTTTAGCGGGCGCTCCCCGGGCACTCTCTGCAATTGGAAAAGTATCGACCTCGCTGTGCCGGCCGGCGGCTCAGAGTCGGCGCGGCGAGGTGTCAAGAGGAGGCGGCGCCCAGTCCATCGCCGCCGTGCCCGTGCTCGCACACCCGCCGCCACCATGGTCGTCAGCAAGGAGACGCCCGTCTTCTTCGTGAGGCCCGCGTCGTCGGCGACGTCCACCATCGAGCAGGACAAGGAGCTGAAGCAGCGCATGGGCGCCTTCGGCGTGATCGACGCGTCGCCGTCCATGCTCAGGATCGCGACGCCCCTCATCGTGGTGTCGGCGCTGCTCGGGCTGGCGCCGGTGCAGCCCGCGTCGACGTCGTCAGCCGTGGCCGACGCCAAGACCGACAGGATCGCCGGGCGCGCGCGCCCGCACGTCCTCGTCAGGAGCGTGTGGCTCGAGGTGTACTCCATCGTCATCCTGGGCCTCATCACCGTCTCCAGCTACTTCGTGTTCAAGGCGTCCGGCGACGAGTCGCTCAAACTCAACTCGCTCGCCAACGTGCTCACCTACGCCTCCGGGCTGCTGACGGTGAGGGTTGGGGTTTGGGTTGGGGACATTGGTCATATGTACCAGGTGGCTGATTCACGCCGCGCACTTCTGTAGGTATACTGTACCGCATGCACGAGTGCGGGTGGGTTGCCTACTCGCTCGGCTCGTAAGGCGCCGTGGACAGGGGCGATAGGCAAGCCCGCCCGCACTCGTGCATGCGGTATAGAATACCTACAGAAGTGCGCGGCGTGAATCAGCCACCTGGTATTTGGGTCGGCCCCGGAGTTGGCCTCGGGGATGTCTATGACGGGATGGGGAGGGAGGAGCTCGGGCTGTTGCGTGGTCAACAGGGCGCAAAGACAACTGGCTGCCGGTCGATGCCCCTCGTGGAGCGTGGCGACCCAATCCACCTCGACGCGACGACAGCGCTGACGAGGACCTCGTTGTCACGCAGGCCTCCGTGTCGGTGCTGGTGCAGGTGGCCACCCTGTGGACGACCAAGTCGGCCATCGACAGCGTGGAGGGCCTGCTGGACTGCGAGGAGGAGACGCAGACCATGACCCCGGCCCGGGTGCGCACCGCGCGCATCTGGGTCGCCGTCCAGGTAGTACAGCCGCCCAAAGTCTAGGGATTTAATAGTCCAAAAAAAAATTCCAAAAATTTTTTTTTTTTTTTGAAAAATGGAAATGTTTACATTATATTTTTTTTTTAAAAGAATACTTTTTAGAACAAAATTAAGATTTTTTTTTCAAAAGAACTTTTCTGGAAAATTGAAATTCCTAGAAGTGATGGCGTAGTGGACTCACTTCCAGACGCTTTCGGCTTTAAACTCGCGCATCACGCCGAAGGCCCTTACCTCTCTGTGCCACCCTTGCTCAGTTGCTGCTGTGGGCCACCGTGTCCGTCGTGTTCGCCGTGCACCACGTCTTCTTCGAGGTGCCCAGCCAGCTAACGCAGCTGTCATTCTGCTACCGCGCCTACTCCGTGTCGCGCCCCTTCATGCACATGTCGTGCATGCAGTTCGCCAACCAGGCCCACGCGCTCTCCCTGCAGGTACACAGAACACACCGAGGAGTAATTCACGCAAAATTTATTAGTGTACGCCGATGTACACCCTTTAAAAAAATCAGAAATAGTCAAGGCAAAATAAATAAAAAAGCAAAAACGCGAGGGCACGCTCACGCTCAACACCGTCCACGTGTTTACATATCGGCCACTAGCATAGTAGTTCCGCCCTCCATTAGTCCCCCGGGCGCGATGGCTGTTTACATACTGTCAGACAACAACGCCGACCGTTAACGAGATCATCTTTTTGTCGTGTCCGACTGGCGACGACGACGTCTGCCGCCCGTTGCCGTCGAGTTAGACCGACCCGCGCCGCACGGACGTAGAATGGGCTGCCTATCTACAGCGCCACAGGCGTCCTCTCTAGAGCAGGCGAACAGCTACGCTCGCAGCTCTATATGAAATGTTAACGGAAATTGTCTTAAAATGAGAATATTATGGATTTTCTTTATCACAAAGATGTCATCACTGAGATTTGTTTGTCATATCCATTTACCAGTATAATGGGGCTGGCGGAAATTAATCCGGAATGACATGGTAGTTAAAAATGTAGTTAAAATAACCATAATATCGTTTAAGATCTTCTTTTTACAGAGTAAGGGCCGTACACTTATGTAATGTCATGTTTATTACGTGGCCTGTTTTCTCAATTCAGGGTTGTTGCATTTTTTAAAATACGATAAGGAGCTTTGAAACGCCTTGTGCTTTATCATAAACTCAAACAATAACTAACACTAATCGAGGAGCGTGTTTTTTTCATAGCGCGTCAGTTCTGTAAACCTGTCCGGCCGAATCACTTGTGCTTCGTCGTAGCTCACCTCCATCAACGACCGCCTGCTCACGATGCTGGGCCCGGTGTCGGCCGGGCTCACGCCGCGCACCCTGGAGATGTGGAGCCGGCTCGGGGACGCGGCCAACCCGCTGCGCCAGCCGCCGCTGCACCCGGACGTCGAGGCCGCGGCGCTCGAGACGACGCGCGAGCTGCGCCTGCTGCACCACAAGATGCACGTGATCGCGGGCTACCTGCAGTCCGCGTACGGGCCGCAGATGCTGCTCGTGCTGCTCAGCACCCTGCTCGACTACACCACCATGCTCTTCATCCTGCTGGCGCGCATCGAGATCGACGCCGTCGGCCTCATCATCGGCACCACCCACGTCCTCGTCATGTACCTCGTGCTCACGTCGGGCAACATGGTGCGCCAGGAGGCGCAGCGCATGGGAGAGGTGAGGAGCAGCTGGAGTAGGTGCAGGGTGCAGCAGGTGCAGCACTTGCAGCAGGTCGAGTAGGTGCATCAATTGCATTACGTGCAGCAAGTGGCAGATGCATTACGAACATTAGGTGCATTAATAACATTTTTGGCACAGCAGGAAACCCTTCTGTTTGCAAAGCGCGCTCTGCGGTTTGTACGATATTAACAGTCCACCGATTTACAATGCGTTTGATCCCCTGCAGATCCTGCAGCGCGGGCTGGTGCACCGGCGGCTGAGCGAGCGGCTGGTCGAGGAGTTGCAGGACTTCTCCCTGCAGCTGGTGCGGCTGCCCACGCGCCTCTCGGCCTGCGGCCTCATGTACCTCGACTACAGCATGATCCAGGGCGCCGTCGGCACCGTCACCACGTACCTGGTCATCATGCTGCAGTTCCCCAACAACACTGGCGGCGCCGCCAAGGCCAACGGCACCGAGTCGACGCCCACCTACACCACCGAGGGCGGCCGTACCTAGGGATTTTAATTTCCCCCCCAAAAGTGTTTTTAAGAAAATTTTCAGTAATTTTTTAAAATTTGAATTTCTCTCCTGAGAATTGTCATTTTTTTCTTCAGTTTTTCTGGAAATATTTCAATTTGTTCCTATTTTGTCTGGACAAGTTTCGAAGTTTTCCGGAAAGAGTTTAGACTTTAAAATCCCTAGCCGTACCTGAGTTATATATTTGTAACAGAAAACATAAACAGGGCGGGGTGACGCAGAGTAGGATAGACTGACAAAAAAAAAAAAAAACGGCAATAGGAAGAAAAAAATGCCTTCCAGCCCGTAAAAGTAACGTCAATCGTGGGAAAGAAAATATGGACGGAATTATTGGAGAGTTTCGGGGAAAATCTTTATTATTGTTTTGTACACGATGACATTAGTGAATGCATCGACAGCTGACTTGTACGCATAAGTAACACTATAGGATAGATAACACTCATTCGCTTACTTCTACTCTATCTCTCTCTCTCACACGCAGACACTCACTCTCTCTCACACGCACACACACCTACAGACATACCCATTCATTTACGTACTGTAATTTTCATAAATGTTGCTTTGGGAAACCCAATTGGATTTTAAGCGCACGTTGGCACTTGTGGGATGGCAAAATGGCACGCCGTGGTCATGAAACAATAATTATTACAATCTGCTCTAAGCAGCTACTCTATATGCACCTCAGAAAAGGTCAGAATTTTAGTCTGTTTTAAAAGAAACGTTTTACAAGTTAAGACTAAAACTTTTTTCTACAAACTACGCGTAATGATCTCACTTCCAATTAGACTGACTTGGGCGCAAAGCCTTTTCTTGCGTTGCTGCACACTTCGCTCGCCAGTCATTTTCTAGCTTCATTTTATTCTTTTTAAAAAGAAGTAAGGTCGACGAGGAAAGAGATTTTACGGCCTTGCCGCTCCGATATTCTCGCACGCGGAGCGTTGGCATTGACACGTTTTATGCCCAAATTTTTGATTTGTCTAAGTCCTATAAGACGTCATTAAGACGTGCTCGTATGACTTTCTGACAACACGGTGGGGAAAGAAGAATAAGGTCACTCCGATTCGATATCATTCTGACAGAGGTCCCTCGCGGTCAGGCACCGCTGGTTTTCCGACATTGTGAAAGGCGTCTACATAAATAGACTGCGGGCTCAGTTTTGGCACGTCGGAAAGGCCGCGCCCGCTGGAGAGGCAGGGACGCCTTGTGCGCAACTCGCCTTGGCGTTGCGTCCAATAAATATTACTCTTTCTTTACGACCGGATAGAGCCGCGCGCGAATCCAGACTTGTATTTTTCAGTCGCAGATAACATAAAAGTCGGGGAAAAGACTAGAGCTAAGATTCGGTAACTACTGACACACACGCACGCACACGCTCTCTTCAAAAGTCCTGCAGTATACTGCAATAATGTCGTCCAGACGTCAAACTGGTCGTATGCTTTTACACTAACCCTTATGCATTTTATTGTGCCTAGACATATGCAGAATTTTATACAGCCATAAGTATGCACAAATTTTAAGCATAATCATGTACAAATTGTGCATAATTATGCACAAACTGTACATCATAGTCATGCATTCATTCAAGTGTGCATAATTTATGGCTGTATAAAATTCTGCATGTTTATACACAGCACAATCTATGCGTACGGATTTAGTGTGTGGCTTGAAGGCTGAAATTGTGATGAGCCGAAACGCCACCATGACGACAGCGCGACTAAATTTCGTCGTCGTTGTCTATGAGGGGCCCTCGCCACCACGCACCTATTCGTATTGATAGTCATCTGGGCCTGCAACATCGTTACGAGTGTCGGGCCGGCCTTGTTGTTGTTGTTGTTGTTGTTGTTGTTGGGTGGAGACCACCCCGCCTCCACCGCGACACAGCGAGTAAATGAGATAGGAGTGGTGGAGGCTCGGTGGTACGCCGCGGCAGCTAGTGAGTCGCGACGTAGGTGTTGTTGTTGTTGATGTTGTTTCTGTTAGATTCCTTCTCGTGGCAGTTGTCGCTGCTGCTGCTGCTGCCACTGCAGCTGCTGCTTCTGCTGTTCCGACGGTCGAAGTGGTACGATCTAGTAGCCCAGTTTCCGCAGAGCTTTCAGATCCAGCTTGCCGTAGTAGTCCTCGCTGTGGGGAAACAAGAAAACCAGAACTGAGTATGAGATTGTCGTGTTTTCTAATGACCCGTCTGGATCACCCGCTGACATGTTGTGCGAATGGTAGGATTGGATTATTCTTAATTTGTGGCACGGGGAGCATGTCTTCCTTCCTCTCGTCAGATTGTGTCCAGTTAGATAAGTGTCGAGTTTTTGTAAGTATAATAGAGGTTGGAAATGAGATTTCGTGTAAAGTAGTATTATACGTTAGTAAGTAAAGAACGTCTCTTTTCTAACGTAATATTTGTTTCAGCAAGTGCTATTGTTTTCTGTGATTTTCATGTATTGTACTGTGTGTTTTATCGTTCATTCGTATAATGCCGTCGTATGCATTCTACGTTGTTCGCTAGCTCGTAAATTAAAGTGAAATCGATCTTAAGCAGCAAAATCGATGCATTTGGATTTCAACCAGCCTAAGTCAAATAACAGTTTTCCTTTTTCCTTAAAACTACTGTTTGAACAATGCCAATAACTATACGCGCCTACTAAAGTCTCTAAACCGATCCATCCCGGCCCAGATCCTGTTGCACTCGTTGCACATCTGACGGCAGTCAAACTGAGCCACCTCCAGAAGAGAACGGCACGGTTTCGCTGCAAAACTATAGTATTAATCCAATGAACACTACAATGCGAACTACGTTTTGTGCTACATATTCAAATCCGACTGCACATCGAACATCCTTTTTTTTGTACACCTGCCGCATGGTTTTTCAGGCACCTATATTCGCACCCGAGCAGGGGGAAAGAAGAATCGTGCAACGTGCATCACATGAAGTAAACTGTACAGATGTTTTTGTTACTGGCTGGCAGGGAGGCAAGCCATGCAGAGGGAAGGAAGGAAAATGACACCAAAGGCAAGTTTCTTTTTGATAAGAAGGAATCACACAAATATAAACTTTATTTTCAGCAAGTCAATAACAAAACCGGGGGAGGGGGGAAAAGGGGGAGGAGGGGGTAGTTGGGGGAGGGATGACACAAAGCGCAACACATACAACATCAACAACAAGAATTTGAATCAATCTCCTCGGCTGACAATTTTTTTTGGGGGGGTGGCTTTTCTCTCATTTTATTACAAAGGCTCAGTTTGTACGGGTTAAATTACCGCCACTGGTCGTTGTCAGTGGCAGGGTCCCCTCAGGGGGGTAGGGTCGGGGCGCCCCTCGGGGGTCGTCCCATCACAGGTACTCTCGCGCGGCCCGCGGGCCCGGCTCGGCTCGGCCCGCCGGCAGCGACTCGGCTCGGCGCGGACCGGCCCGGCTCGGCCAGACTCTCGGCTCGGTCTCTCTTTCAGATCACGCACAGCACACACGATAGAGTCCACGTCTCTCTCTTTTGGTCCCACTGGGTCTCTCTCTGGTTCTCGCGCTCACTCGCTCACACACACTCTCTACTCGGCGTCGTCGAAGCCCTGGCCGGGCTGGGCGGTGGCGGGCCTGGACTGGGGGGCGGGTCTGGCGGGGGCGGCCGGCCTGGGCTTGGAGGCGGCCTTGGGGGCGGCGGCCGGGGGCTGGCTGTTGGCGTTGGCGCGGCTCTGGCCGTTGCCCTGCAGGCCCTGGAGGAGCTCGCTCTTGCGGATGGTCTTCAGGTCCAGGTCGCCGTAGTAGTCCTCGCTGTGGAGCACAAGGGCCAAGGCTCACCAACACACGTCGTACCAGATGACGCAACTAACAACTACAGTCGGACTGGCTCCATTGTTTTTTACAAGTGACAATAAATAAATAACAGAACAAAAGGCAAGTCGACAAGGAATGACGCCTGGGGGGTTAGGCAGCAGCTGTACAACGCTGTACTGCGGTACAGCCTACCCTGCGGACTGCAGGGTGAAGGAGAAAAAAAGACGGTCTTTTAAGAAGTGCCGTTTAAAGTTGCAACATCACGCACCGCGACGGGGACCGCAATGGCAGGGTTAACGGCCCCTCTTGCACAAGATGCACTTCCCAGCTATATTTAGCTCGATTTTATTACCTCGACATGGGGCCGTAAAATGCGACTGCGCGTGTGGAGAAAGCACACTAATTGCAATATCGCTACATAAAAGTGACTCACTTAAAAACAAAATAGGAAAGGGTATTTTTTTTTTTCGGAAGTTGGGCCAGCACAATAAAAAAGAAAATTCAAAAGAAGTAAACTTTTGGACAGGGGAGTCTTTCATTATGGCAATAATGAGGAGGAAGGAGTAAAAAAGAATTACTAAAGCTTGCCATGCAATTCAGCACACGCTCATGCGACATGTAAGTTATCACTAGGCACAGGAAGGCTTCACACTTGACCCTGAATCGACTCTAGAGACAGGTACGGCGGACTTGAAGATTTTCGTCCCCAGGTACCGCATTCCTCACCACGGCAGAGAGCGGGCAGCACCCCACGCATGCAGATTGACATCGCGGTGGCATGTTAGCACTACTTTAGACATTCTGCTGAAAACCCGACTTTTCTTTTCTCCTGAAACCATTACGCCCCCCCTCCTTTCTTATTGTTGATGAGTTTATCTCGACTTTCTAATCGCCTCTAGCGTCACTTTACGTCATTGTACCCAGTAGGAATTTAATGTCAACATCGCGTCAAAAACAAATTGTAATCGACGTTACTATTCGACTGTCCATCAATTCCAATTTCCGGGCACCGGCTGTACTGTGCTACAGTAGTCAAAGACGCTGTATATTACGTTATACTATTTTTTTTTATAAACGACTGCAAATTTTAAAATGAAATCCGTGTTTTGTTTGTAGAGCAAATTAAACGTGTGCAGCTTTGTCACTCACCAGCCGGGAACGTCCTCGGGGTCTTCGCAGACGCCGGAGCCCTCAGAGTCGCCGATCTTGAACACGGTGCCGATGGGGCAGCCGTACTCGCGGGCGACTCCCTCCATGCAGATGTAGTACTTGCGGCAGTCCTCGGGGTGCGCGTGGCGGGAGAAGGAGCCACCGGCACCGGCGATCTCACCGGCGGCGGGGCAGGCGAAGCCGTTGGCGACCTCTGCGGGGAGCCACAACCAGGATTAGCCATTGAGCACATCTGACAAAGCCACTTCCGACACCTTTAGGGGGTCGTTCCAAAGTGTACCACGTGACTTTTATGATGGGGGTACAAATATTATAGGGTCCCAAAACGATCGCAGCCATTGTTGGGATGGATACTCCATGATATTTGTATCCCGGGGTTCGGGGTTCAAATATCATGGGGTCTCTATGGACTCCAATGATGGTCCTGATCCTTTTGGGACTCCATAATATTTGTAACCCACCTAAAAGTCACGTAGTATTGGAACGACCCTTATGACACTTTTCTTCTTGGTCCCCAAAAGACACATACGAAGTCCCGCGAAACGGATAATATACATTCTGGACGGGGTTTACAAGAAAACTAGAAATACAAAAAGGATACTGACCTTCGTTCTTGCACTCGGGGACCTTGTCGGCCCACATGCAGACGCGGGCCTCGCGGTCGTAGGCGAGGCCGGGCGAGCACTGGTACCTCGACGCCTCACCGTTCCAGCAGTTCCAGAACGTGTCGCACTTCTTCTCGTCGGCGAAGATTCCGTACAGGCGCGGGCAGTGGGGGGTGCTGATGGCGGGCTCTGCAGTGTAGACAACCGAGAATTAGATGAGTAAATTTGCAAGAACACACCGTGATTCAAAATGTGAGAATGTCGCAGACTTGTAGGTGTGTGAACGACATTCGTACACATGGAGGCAAAAGTGTGTGAATTTCAAAGGAAGATTCACACCTTTACTCTGTTCGTGTAAGAATGGGCATTCACACCCTTAAATGCGAAATTAACAGACTTGCGTTTCCAGTGCAAAAATATAATTCTGCAGGAATTTTTCAAAATAGGGAAGAACTTTTGACTCTTTCGTAGAACTTTGTAAAAAAATAGTAATTTAAAAAAAAGGCAAAGTTTAAGGGGAACTGTCTTCCTTACCAAGCTGGGTGCGGTCACCACAGTCTGTGTTGTGGAGGTAATCGCAGTTCTCGGTGAGGAACTTGTCGTCGGAGGCATCGAAGGCTAATCCGTTCCCACATGTCTTGAGCTCTGACACGCCGTTGTCACATTTCCAGTATTTGTCGCACGAGACGCTGTGGGGGTAGAAGCCGTAGTCGTCTGGGCATTTAAAGCTCTCCTGGCCATACGCTGTCGGGACAGAAAAAAAAAGTAAATGGATAAATACAAGCGTCTTTCAGAAATACAATACGCAGCAGCACTGCACCACTGTCGCGCTTCCTGTGTGACGCCCTTTAGCCAGCCCAGTCAGGCTGCCATTGATTTTCCCTCGTCGAGCCGAAAGAAACTAATTAGTCGGGACGACGAGCCTCTAACTCCACTTTTTTCCCCCTCGGAAGTCCACTCCCCTCTACCCCCTCTCTCCTGCCGTTGCCATTTTCGCGCTAAAAGCAAAAGCTGCGTAACGTGTCATGGCGCGCTCTGGGCGGATATAGATGGAAGCGGCGCAGACGCAGCGGAGCACGGCCACTTTCACTCAAGGTGTACCCCCCCCCCCCCCTCACCGCTTGGCGGTGACGGGACGGTCTGATAGGCTCACGTGCCGGCGAATCAATGACCGACCCTGAGCTGGGTGAGCCAGGTGGCTGCCACGAACCCAGGGACCTGCCGCCAAGCTGCCTGAATATTATTTTGATGATTTTTTAAAAATGATTGTTTGTAATTTGTTTTCTTTTTTTCTGATTTGAGTCTGATTTGTCTGATTATGATGTTTAAAGTGAAGTCCCACGAACTTGAGGGGTTGTCGCCCATGTAAGGGTTTCCGCCAACCTAAGGTACCTCTTATTCGACAAAATGCCCCCTCCCCCTTGAGGAGTAAGAGTCAGCCGCCTGCTGGTGTCAGTCACGCCTGTCAGTAGGCCGGGGTGCCGAACGAACTGTAGAGCGTGCGTGGTCAGCGTGTCAGTCGCCTGACGCGATCGGAACGGTGTCACGGCGAACTGGACGCGAGGCTCTGCTGCTGCACCCCAGCGAGCAGGCTGAGCCGGGAGGAGGGGGGGGGGGGTCTCACATGGAATCATCCAGAAAGTGCGCGTCCGTCCTCCGCCGTTTACGAAACTGCCGTAAGCAGTTCAGCCGCCGACGCGAGCTCTCATAGCGCCTAGCGGGTAGGCAACATCTGGCCTGCAGTGCATGCGTGTTCAGCGGTGTGGCCTACTCCGAGTTTCGCAGGCGCCGAGCTCCCGTCATTTGCCGAATGGATCGGAGAGAAACGGCGGACGCGTACTTTCTGGACGAACCCTATGAGAGCGGCAGCGAATCGTAGCTAAAATACCCCCCCCCCC